TAGGAAGCATAATGTCCCAGAGACGTCGCTATAGTCACCGTAACAACCACCAACCACCAAAACTCCACATTTGCTGTAACGCTGTACTGAGCAGGCCAGGAGAATAAGTGCAGCGATACAAGGACAATACTGCAGGTCATCTAGGCGCTGTTTTCACACTGCTGTGTTAGTAAAGTCTCTCTCTCTCTCTCTCTCTCTCTCTCTCTCTCTCTCTCTGTCTCTCTCTCTCTCTGCAGGATGTGTGGAGTGGAAGTGGACGATGGAGTGGAGGATGAGCACGAGGTGGAGGATGAGTTTGGGGTGTGTGAGGGGGTGCGGATGTTGCCCCCCCCGGTGGCGCGCTGTGATGGGAGCGTGTGGGGCTCCCGGCGCGGGCGCTGTGAGTGTGTGTGTTGGGGGTTAGGGCTGGTGCTGTGGAACCTGGCGCTGACCGGCGTGTGTGTGACGCTGATGGCCGCAGTGTTTACGCTGGTGCTGCTGCCGGCCGTCCTGCTGCTGTACGCAGGCTTCCTCTGTCATTCACGGGTAAGAGAGCAATAAGAGTATATATATACACACTCACTGTCCACTTTATCAGCTCCACTGACCATATAAAATATACATATTTCACTGTAGTTCTACAGTTACAGACTGTAGTCCGTCTGTTTCTCTGCATACTTTGTTAGCCCCCTTTTACCCTGTTCTTCAGTGGTCAGGACCCCCATGGACCCTCACACAGCAGGTACTATTTGGGTGGTGGGTCATTCTCAGCACTGCAGTAACACTGATGTGGTGGTGGGGTGTTATTGTGTGGTGCGCTGGTGTGAGTGGATCAGATGCAGCAGTGCTGCTACAGTCTGTAACTGTAGAACTACAAAGTGGTCAGTGGAGCTGATAAAATGGACAGTGAGCGCAGAAACATGGAGGTGGTTTTAATGTTATAGCTGATTGGTATATAATAATATTACTACACACCAACATCAATCAAATATGTGTCAGTATCAATATGCAATAATTTTGTAATCCAAATCGCTGCTGTCGGAACAAAACCTTGTATCTCCATTTTTGTCATGAATTCAGTTTTTGGCAACAGCCAAAGCCTGTTGTTCTTTACATTGTGCTTAATGTTTCTGATGAATGGACCAAAAGAAATGACCCAAAATGACTTGAAAAGAAGTCTGGTTCCATTGACTTACATTAAACGTGAAGTATGTTTTTTGCTTCTCCTGTAAAGCTACCATTTTGGAGATACGAGGTTTTGTTCCGACAGCAGTGATATGTTTTATATCTATGTAAGCACAGCACCGTGCTAAAGTCAGAGACCACTCTCTCAGTTATTTCATTTCCAGCCAAAACGGCCATGAAGTACAAGTTATTCATTTTTTAGTGTCAGGAAAAAAGCAGAAGTGCATATTTAACAGCAAATTACCCAGAATCCTCATCAGCTAAATCTAATCTCAGCTGTGTGAGTCAGTGAGTCACTCTTCTCCTTTATTCCAGCTTCCGTTCTTTCCAGGAGACTCACTTTCAGTTCCTCAAAGAATCTGCAGACACACCTCCAAAGTTCAGTCTTAGAAGCTGGTTGATGATTTTCTGAAGTAATCAAACACATTCAGTGGTGTTGAGGTCTGGACTCTGGGGTGGTCAGTCCATCGTTCAGCTTCTTTGTTTGATGTGTCCGTCTCCTTTTCTCAGTGAGGTTCTTCTTGATCAGCTACACATCCTTTCAGACCCACAGCGCTGAGTCGTCTTCTCACAGTGGAAGGATGGACAGAAACACCTGTGGATGTTTTCAGATCTGAAGTAGCTTGATTTTCTCCTCTCTCTCAGAGATGAAAGCTTTAAGTGCTGTTTATCTGATGGGGGCAGTTTTGGGGTCGACCAGCTCTTCCAGGTGGTCGTTAGGAGGCACATTTTTCTGGAGCTTTTAATCAGTTTTCTCCTTCCTTATGCAAGTGGAATGATGGGTGGTCCCTGACTTTTACACGGTTCTGTAAGGGTCCTACAGTCACGCTGAGCCCAGGTGCTGGTTAGCATTTAATAGCCTGTTATTTTGATTCGGCTGGAGAATTCTAATTCCCTTCAGCATCTGTAAATTGTATTTCAATGAACTGCGGGAGTGTATGTGTGTGTGCGTGCGTGCGTGTGTGTGTGTGTGTGTGTGTGTGTGTGTGTGTGTGTGGTGTTATTGACAGCTCTGTGGCCGGTTCTTATCTTGAAGCTGTCACACACTACTACCTCCCTCACAAACACACTATACTGACTCCCCCCGCCGTCCTCTCCATCTCTTCAGGTCCTCGCGTCCCCCTCAGCTATCTGCCGTTACCTTGACGACAACAGTTGCTCCGCCCTCATTATCCTCGGCTTTGTGATGATGTCACCGCTGGTCGTGGTCGCCGCGGCAACTTTCTGCGGCCTGCTCAGGCGGTTCCGCCTCCTGCTGTACTTTCAGCCAATATCGGGAGCCCGGTACAGGGGGCGGGGCTTCGTGTGGAGGCAGGACTTCCATGCCTGGGTGTGACGGACTGCTTCATCTTCTCGGCCCGGGCTCACTGATCCTGGAACAGTTTTTTTGTTTAAACCCAAACCTCGCCGAGGCATCGCCAACCAAAATCCGAAACTGGTTAACAATCAGTTACCAAGGACTTCTTCAGTAAATGCTCAGAACCCGACGCTCTGGAGAACCTGAGAGGAACAGCAGAAGTGTTGCCATCACTGCTCAAGGCCTAGAAGGCGTTAGCGTAGTAACACAAAAAGAGCTAAAGAGACAGTTTGACGAAAAATCTAGGTTCCCTTTAGCCAGTTCCCCCCTCCTCACCCCAAATGTAGCCAGCCAAGACATGTTTGGTGTCATGTTCAGTGTTTCAGCAACGAAGCTTGTTAGCATCGTAATAGCTGCTTGTCAAGGGGCGTTTTCACACTAGAGCTTTTTTCCAGACCCAGAACCGCTTGTTCTGCATGTTTGGTACATTTGGTCGAGTGTGAAAGCTGTTTTTGAGCCTGGGAGCAGTCCAGGGAACCGATCTCTGGTTCTCCTGAAATTGGTGGTCTGGGAACTCTGGTGGAGCCCACTGTGCATATGAAAGTGATCTGCTCCCAGAAAAGTCGGTTCTTCACCGCTTGAGTGTTTGTAAGTATTTATCAAGTTCATCAAGTATTCGGGACAAGTGTGGAAACACCCTAAATCATCACACACTTACTTTAAACCACGTTAGGTGATCTCTAATAGACCTCTAAAGTCACGTTGTCATTCTGTAATATTGGTTTTCTCTATGAATTTTACTGTTACATGTAAGTTTAGCTCAGCTATAGCTGCTTTTCTCACATCTCCAGCAGGAAACTTTTCCTCAAAACTTGAACAGTTTCTTGTAAAATGGCTCTCAGTGTTCGACTTTTTACAAGGCTGAAGTCGCTTCTCATTCTCCAGCTTCTTGTTCGAATTTTCCCCTTTCCACCTTAAATGGTGCCTGAAGCGCCAGAATGTAACTGCTGCACCATTTAAGGTGGAACGGGAAAATTCGAACAAGAAGCTGGCGAATAAGAAACTTCAGCCTCACGACTTTTTAGTGTTTGTCAGTTTCTCGTTGCAGATTAAACATATCAGGAAACCAGCTGGAGTGCTGTTTCGTTAACTACTAGCTAAGCGAGACTGTTGTCTGTGTTGCTATGGTGACCAGCAGTCTGCGCTGATCTTCAGGGTTAAAGGGTGAATTAGCAGTTCTACATTAACTCCAGAGTTTAAGACCATTTATTGTTAAACTGTGTTGAACGATCAGCAGAGCTTTATTTTACTGTAAAGGAGGATTATTTTATTATTACCTACAAATCTGATTCAGCTGTGGAGCAACAGGGCAGTAAAAGAGCCGCAGGTTGCTGACCCCTGATCTAGGGGGTCCTGTCCCTCTCAAAGAGAAAAGAGATCCACCATAAGAGAGAGACAAAATTGCACCTGGGGTTTATATTCAGTTGGGGTGTTTGAAGATTTGCCCTGGGTTCACACAAGCAGCGTTTTTTCGCCTCTCATCACCCAAATCTCTGCTCTCTCATCGTCTGTGGGTGTTCCTGAACTCAAGCTGACCATTGGTTGCCATGGTTTCACTGATGCCAAGCACAAATCAGAAGTGTTCCTGCTAAAATTAAAATCCTGGAGAGAAAAAGCTTCTGTATGAATTCGATTCCAGCGTAGTGCATCACTGTGTGAAACACCGCCACCGTTCCTCCATCTCTAGTAGGAACCAGTATCTAGGACCCAAAAAAGGGAGCACCCTATTTCACAGTGGTGGAGATAAAGCACATACCACTCCTAACTTTGCTCCTAACTTGTATAAAGTTAAACATTTGTTCAATGTTGTTGCATCGCTGACTCCGCCCACTTTGCAGCGGCAACGTTCACGCTGCCTCCTGTCTCATTGTGAATGCAGCTCTCTTTGAAAACGAATGAATTCTGGCCGCTTTGTAGCGTCGATGCTGATGTGAATGCAGGGTTAGGCCTGAATTTAGCACCATGCTACTCGGCGGAGAATCATTTCAATTACTTGTTAGCTACATTAGCCTTGTAGCTCTGCGCTAAAAGCAAAGAAGCAAAGAAAAGACACCAAACACATCTTGGCTGACCACCTAGATCTGGGGGGGCTGGGGGAATTCGATTTTTCACTGAACTATTGCTTTACGGCCGCAGCGCTCAGCGTGCACTCTCTGCTAAACTAAAGATATGCTATGTAATGTCGCTGTGCTTTGCCTGTAAGTTTATTAGCATATTGCTAGCTGCTAGGTGACTAGCTACATGGCTTGTCACAATATAGGAAATAGGAGTAGGACGTTCCTCCAGTGTTACCAGTTAGCAGGAATCATTTTACTAAGAATCATTATTATCAACTTTTAATTATTTTTATTCATTTTTATTCATCAAGTGCATTTTTAAAGAAGCGGGTATGAAAAAAAACATATTACCACTCAACAGCAAATATTAAAACTCAATGATCTGATATGGTCCATGTTTATGCAGTCTTATGCAAAAGTTGGTCATGTTCCATGTTGTTGAATTTCCGAGTGTGAATAAGCGAACACATCCTCTACAGTGAACACACTTCTGCACATTATAATGCATAATTACTGTTTAGTAAGTAGGGCTGCTGTGATTAGTCAGTGTAATTGATGACGCTGATGCTGAAAATGCATCAATACTTTAAATCGATACGTTTTTTACAAATTATTTTTATGATTTTAGCTTTTTTGAAAACTTTTGTAAAAAGTTCTTCTGTTCAAATACCAAATGCTTTTCCTGAATAGCACTATTTAATTGGTGCGCGCATGACATCAGTCATTTTCGGCTTCAGTCTTTGGTTGGTTCCTTCCAATGGTACAGATCTAAAAAAGATTTGGACTCGGATGTGAAAGAGGTTTCTAAAAGTTTCCAAAGACCCAAGGCAATACTGTGCAAAGTTTCGATGGCGTACACACTTAAAAATTGGTTCTTCAAGGGTTCTTCAATAAAGGAAATGGATCTATATAGAACTATGAACACTCAAAAAACCCTTTGCATGAATTAAAGGGTTCTTTGCATCGTGAAAGGGTTCAGATTGATGGAGAATGTGTTGTATATGGTTCTATATAGAACCTTTTTGAAAAGGGTTCTTTATAGCACCAAAAAAGTTCTATTATTAAAAGCTTGGCATTGTAACAATAACAGAACCCTTTTTGGTGCCATATAAAACCGTTTTCGAAAAGGTTCTATATGGAACCATATTCAACACATTCTCCATCAATGTGAACCATTTTATGATGCAAAGAACCCTTTAATCATGCAAAGGGTTCTTTGAGTGTTCATAGGTTGATATAGAACCATTTTCTTTACTAAAGAAGCCTTGAAGAACCAGCATTTTTATGTACGTACCACAGACGGGGCTAAAGTCGGCTTTATATTTATTAGCTGCTTAAATTTTCCCGTTCCACCTTAAATGGTCCAGCAGTTACATTCTGTCGCCTGAAGGTGCCGACACACTAGAGGCTGAGGCAGTGTCAGCTCTGTCAGACTGGAATTGCGTCTGTATGCGGTAAAAAGGCATCGTTGCGTGTCGAAAAAGTTCAAACCATTTCAAGTTTTGCTGCAACAGATTCTGACATGGAGACACGTCAACCAATAGAAACATGCAGGCAAAAACCGACAAAAATCCAAGATGGAGGACAGTAGCGATGGTATGTACTCTTTAACTGTTCTACATGGCTCCTTTGCTTTCGTGGCTGATCTTCCCTTGGCTCTGTATTTGGCCATCACCGAAATTTTCTTTTGATGGTCCATATTTCTTCGTTTTTGGTCCGAATGTTTTGTTTCCCACTGGATTTCGAACTGTACAAACTCCGCCCTGCTCCAGCCGTGTACACACCTTCTAGATGGACAGGATCTGCATCTACCGCTCCATCCTTGCAGTGTATGGTGTGTGGGTGCCCTGAGGAGTTATTACAAGAACTGCTGCACCATTTAAGGTGGAACTGGAAAATTCAATCAAGAAGCCGGCGAGTAGGAAGCCGACTTTAGCCTCATGTACCACAGCAGCACTAGCGTGATGCACGAGCACCTGAAGAGAAACACACTGGGGCTGTTCTGGATGATGGACCACCAGGAAAGGCAAGTCTGTTGTCCTTGTAGCTGCTAAATACACTCATTATTAAAGCTATCAAGTCCTCTGCCTGGGAACGTCCACTGAATAAGTGTTTGAGAAAATGTTCAGGCCGAAATCTGGGCTTATTCTTTGTTGCTCAGCGGTGCCAATGTGTGTTCTTGCATGTTGGGACGTGTAACTTACCTAATTTTATTATTTTATTTCTGCCATTATTTTTATTCATATTTCTTTGTGGAGGAAATGCCATAATTAGGAAATAACTAGGAGGACAATGTATCATTTAAATGAATTGACTAATCTGTAAAATAGATTAATCGATAGAAAAATAGCTGTTAGTGAACATAAAATGTGGCCTGTGAGAATGTAATGACACATTTTATGTATATATATTTTTTTCAAAATGCTAAACTAGCAACTGCTAAAATGTTGCACTAAAATGTGCAGAAAATGCCAGGATGTGTTCACTTTGACTGGGGTGCACAAACTTTTGCACACTACTTTAGTACACTGTAGCGATTACTGAACAACTCCACACGGTCTGAGGTGAGGGACCGATGATTTAGCATACAGTTAGCATCACGTTTATTACTGTACACAAGCTCCTATTACTTGTTAGCTACATTAGCATCACAGTGCTAAAACTATAGAAGCCAAACTCTATTTGGATTAAAGAGAAACTCTGAAACTTTTCCAAGTTGACTAATGTTAGTGATGAATGTGTGATGACTGTTTGAGACCTGCTGACCCTCCTTTTAACCATCCACTCAACACTTTTCTGGGGCTGCTCACTGTGACCCAGTTCAGACGGCTTTGTACAGACATCATATTCGTGATGAATGATAAAAACCCTCCTTAATTATGTCCATGTGGCTCAGACTGTTTTGCTAAAGGCTGCTGGGTC